ATGAGAAAAGAGAGGTATGAAGAGATAGATCATACATAGCCTTGTAAGTAATGTTAAGGAATTTGGGAAAAGAAAGATACGGAAGAGTTTTGTGTAATCTTGTCAAAATTTCTCCAGTGTTTTCGTAACTAACTGGCAATGCCACTCTCCCTCATCCTTAGCCTAATATCTTATATTTTAGATTGCAAAGAAAATGGAAACTAGTTGACAGGAACTTACTAATTCCTAGAACGTCATCTTCTCTAATAACATGAATAGTCAATTAACACATATTTTGTAAGTTATATATATCATATACTGTATTTTTTTATTTTAAAAAGAGATAGTGTGCACATGTGGGGGAGTAGAGCAGAGAGAAAGATAATTTTTTTTAATGTTTATTTTTGAGACAGAGAGAGAGACAGAGACAGAGTGCTAGTGGGGGAGGGGCAGAGAGAGAGGGAGACACAGAATCCGAAGCAGGCCCCAGGCTCTGAGCCATCAGCACAGAGTCTGATGCAGGGCTCGAACCCACAAACTGTGAGATCATGACCTGGGCCAAAGTCAGATGTTCAACTGACTGAGCCACCCACATGCCCCAAGGGAAAGGGAATCTTAAGCAGCCTCCATGCTCAGTGAGGAGCCTGATGTGGGGTACAATCCCATGACACTGGGATCATGACTTGAGCCAAAATCATGAGCCAGACATTCAACTGACTGAGCCGCGCAGGTGCCCCTCCTATATATATTTTTATAACAAAGTAAGGTAAAGAAAAGAATATGTTTTTAAGAAAGTCATAAGGAAAATACATTTACATTAATATATATGTATGTGTGTGTATATATATATATATATAGAGAGAGAGAGAGAGAGAGAGAGAGAAATATCTACATACAAATGGACACAGACAGTATTGTATCTATACCAACACTCCCTACTTCCTTCCTGTTATGGTGAATATGATGAATAAGCTATTTCTGCTCCCGTTTGAGGCTTATTTCCTATATGTGCACTAGGTCCCATACCAAGTAAGAGCAGAATTCATCAAATATTTAACATCTACTGTTTCTCCACACTTTCCCTCCCATTTGGAGCCTTTCCTTTAAAATCAAAACATGCTGAGGATATACCTTTCAAAAAACCTTCCTATCCACCTTGTGCCCCATTCAGCCAGGAATAGGATGAGGGTAAAGCAGTGAGATAAGTCACACAAGTGCATAGTCAGTTTCTGTCTTAAATTTTTGTTTATAAATTTGTTCATAATGGATATGCATTATGATTTTAATTTTTAAAAAGATTGATTTTAAAAAAGATTATATTCAAGTTATCATTTGCCTGAATTATTCAGTTTTTTGGTGCTTTCTTAAATTTTGTACCCAAGATGAATGGCTTACTTCCCTTACCATAGTCCCTGTTCCTGTAACTCATTACTCCTTTATCTCTTTCCTACTCTTCATAACCAAAAGTATTGAAAGGGCTGCCCACATTCATTCACAACATGACTTTTTCACAGAATTGTACTTCCCTTTCTTGCTCATTCTTAGAGTTTACCCAAAGAGTGCCAGCTATAAAATCACTTTGTTTCACGCTTAGAAGAAAGAGGATGTATTTTATACAAAACCTTAGAGAAGGCTCCGAAGATATCTGAATAAAGTAGGATTTATTATATCGTGTGAGATATAAACAACACACGGAAAGCATTTTATTTTTTTATGTCATTAATAATGAACCACTGTAGCTTTGGCTTCTAGAGTTTTATGCATAGGCCACTCTGTTCCATTGGTTTTCAACTTGAAATACAAAAGAGTAGAATCCTGTGTGTTCATTTTATTCATTTTTGAAACTAACCATGTTATTGTCATAATTCATTTGCTTAAATATGTTTTACTTAATCAGTACATGCAGGTGCCAATCAGATCAGTAATTACTAAACTGAATTAACATAATTCTAGAGAAGGAAAAAAAAACGGAGACATGATTTCAGATTAAAAAAACAAGCAAACATGTCCTTAATAGAAGTCCGAATACTTTTTTCCAATCAAATATTTTATCAAACCAACAGTATTCTTAGGAATATTGCTTAGGAATGTTGCTTAGGAAACCAGATTTAACTAAGTGTAGTTAGCCGGTTGCTTAGTTTTGTTAACTATATTTAGTATTTTTAGTAGTTAACCTCCCAAATTATTATCTGAATGTTGGCCATAATCTGAGAAATGTATCAGTAAACACATAAACACATAAAAATTTAACAAAATTGTATCATAAGAGTTTCAGAATTTTATAAAAATTAACACGAATATTTATATAACATTTATATATAACTTATTTATTATATTATTATATTATTTAAAATTTATAATTAATGCCCAATTTATGTCATTGTTCATTGCAATAAAGCTTAATTTTCTCTTTCACTACTCCTTGAAATATTAAATACCATACTTGTTTAATAACTACATACTTGAAATACAGCTTAAAAAGATGCCCTATGGGTACCTGGGTGGCTCAGTCAGTTGAGCATCTGACCTAGGCTCAGGTCATCATCTCACAACTCATGAGTTCGAGCCCCGCGTCAGGCTCTGTGCTGACAGCTCAGAGCCTGGAGCCTGCTTCAGATTCTGTGTCTCCCTCTCTCTCTGCCCTTCCCCTACTTGAACTCTCTCTTTCTCTCTCTCTCTATCTCTCAAAAGTGAATAAATGTTAAAAAAAATTAAAAGAAAACTAAAAAAAAGATGGCTTATAATCACAAGTATGTAAGCCTCAATGAAGCAAGGAAACTATGCGTTAGAAACTCAATTTAAAAAATAGTCAAATAGTTATAACATCATGATAACATTTTTATCTTATTTTAATCAGATTTATTAATATATTAGAAAATAGTCAAACAACTAATTTGAACATGATTATAATACTCACATTAAAATCTAGATCCGTGACACAGCTGGAAAGCATACATGGCCCTCTAATTTTCATTACATCCTCCTTATTCTCATTTTTTATTTTAAACTTTGGCAAAAATGGGTGAAAGTATTGATACACATATCCAATTTTTTCACCAGGAGGAGCTTCAACTTTTAGCTACAAAAGATTGAGAAATGTAGTATTGGTCAAATGAGATTTATTTTGATTTGTAAGCAGCAAATTAGTTATATGCTACCTATTAGTGTTTTGTATAGGTGAACAGAACTTTCTGTGTTTAAAGCATGCCCTATGTTTGGGAATGGACGTGGAAGTGAAAAAAAACTAGGATGTAGATATTGAACCCCCCAAATTGAGACCTGATGCTGCTGTTCATTTACTACATGAAATGTGGACATGTCCCTAAACTCTCTGTAACTCTTTTTCCATTTGCAAAAGGGGGATAATAACATTTTTTAGGTGTTTATGAAGATCACTTTTTAAATTGCCATGCTCATGAGACATGTCTTAAACCCCAGTCGCACAGACAACTGTTCTATTACCAATATGTGAAGGACTTTTGTCCCTCTATGCAAATGTAAATTTGAATTCACTAAAGCACTTTAAGTTGATTGTGATTTAACACCCAGTTCAGGGCGCCTGGGTGGCTCAGTTGTTTAAGCACCTTAGGTCGTGATCTCATGGTTGGTGAGTTCCAGCCCTGCGTTGAGTTCTGTGCTGACAGCTCGGAGCCTGGAGCCTGTTTCAGATTCTGTGTCTCCCTCTCTCTCTCTCTGCCCCTCCCCCTCTCGTGCTCTGTCTCTCTCTCAAAAAATAAATAAACATTAAAAAATTTTTTTAAAGTAAAGCCCAGTTCAGAGATTGGTTGTATAAATTATGGTGTACCATCTACACGATGGGTTATTATCCAAGCATTTTTAAGTGCGGAGGAAGCTCTATACATACTGATGTAATCTTCAAGTTACATTGTTTTGTATTAAAAAATTAGAGAAGAATATCTGCCAATTTTGTTAAAAAGACACATGTATGGCATACATATGTGCATATTACACAAATATTCATAGAATAATGCTGGTAGAATAGTTAAACTTGTAATACTAGTTCTTTCTGAAGAAGAATACAGGTGGCCTAAGAAACGAGAGTTTGAAAAAAAAAAAAGAAACGAGAGTTTGAGAGGCATTGTTTCTCTAGAATATAATTTTTTCTTTCTCTCTCTCTTTTTTTTCTTCCTTCCTTCCTTCTTCCTCCCTCCCTTCCTTCCTTCCTTCCTTCCTTCCTTCCTTCCTTCCTTCC